TTTTATCCAAGAGTCTGGAGACCCCACTGCTGCATATGCTTAAGACAGCAACTGATTTCTGAAGCTGTGCAGCAGTGCGCACAACAAGTGTTCCTCCCAGGGGTGCGGGAAAGCCATATTCATGAGAAGTGTATTGAAGACACCATCCACTGGAGGGTCTGAACATTGTTCTGTGATACTTGTTGTGTAGCACTGTTCCAAAATAACATTGGGTGGACTCTGAAGTGTTCCCTGTGGCCATCGTTATAAAGTCCCATGCCAACAGTTACCATTAGGGTTGGCTGAAAAACTTCGAATGAAACATTTTCCCTGCAGTAAATGGAGTTCCATTGAAATCAAAATTTTCCACAGGAGAAGATCTACTTCAGTGGAATTTTACATTGGGAAAAAATCTAAACTAAATGTTTCAGGTTGATCTGTATCTCTGTATCTGCCTGAGCTGCTGCAGTGCCTCATGGGAGATGTAATTCAGGTTCCTAATGCCTCCATTCTCTCCTGCACTTCCAGCTCTCCAGCAAGACTACATCTCCCTTGATGCACCGTGGTCTTTTCTTCAGGGGTGTAGTCCTGAATGGGCAAGTACAGATACTACCGGAGTGCCCTGCCAACAAGACTTCACGCACACGGTGAATGCGGACGATGCCATTTTCAAAACAAAACTGCGTCCTCCATGTGGCAAAAGTGCCAGAACACTTCCAGCACATGCCACCTGAGAGGCTGAGCTGCCTCATGCCGCAAAATGCTTCCAACTGGTAATGCTGAAACATTTCATTTTGCTAGAAAAGGTCTAAACTTATTCTTTCAACATTTGTGAATCAAAATTTTTCGCAACTTATGTATAGACCGAAAACCGATGTTGAAATATTGGAATTTCCTGCAGGATGGAAATTTTGGTGGTCAATCTGCTAATGGTATTGTGGATAAGGCTACAGTTAGGTATGTTGCTTTTTAAATTCTGATTTATCAGAGGCAAATTTAGATGGTTATTCTGTTTCCTAATTCCTTCATAAAAATAAGCTAAAAACGCTAAAGAGAATTATGGGATCAAGTTTCCTCTTAGCTTTTCAGTTTGGAGGCAATCTAATAATATATCTTTATTCTAGTGTTGCAAAACTGACTCTAGTAACACCTATTATCTACAGATCTTGGCAATTACATTTGCTTCTTGAATTTACATTATGACTATCCTCTTTCAGTCTGAAGATCTGATTATCCTGCTGTAACAAAGAGCCTGTCTACAATGGAAAAATCTATTTAATTGGAGAGCCCAGTTACAATGAAGCAGCACACTGAACAGGCTTAAAATGTGGGTTGGTCTTGCAATGTAGATGAGACCAAACTATATACCTAAATCATACTACAGCCTTGGACATTGCAGACTTCAGTGTGATCTGGTAATATGTTGAAAACCTAGTTTGGTCAAGTTTGCACTGTAAATCTGAGTCATGTTTTAATTTTATGATGCTATTTTGAGGGGGGCCTGCATCATGGCAGTTTTTCACATATTACGGAAAGAATCAAAGACCACAGCAGATAGAGTTGGAGCTCAGCATTGTTTTTCTTCTCCCACATATCCGCTTTTATTATATGGTCAAAATACAAGTGACCACTTCCTCTATTTCCTGTTTTCTGCTCACATGCTTAGCATTTTGTTAATGTTGTGTGTAGTTCAGACATCTGTGCCATCAGATCCCATACTTGTTAGGCAAGTTCCTCTCTTGGTGCTTACCATCAGTACACTGGCTGTTCCCAGCAGTGCTGTGTTGGCTGGGTCACGTGACTGGACTTCCCGAAATTCGCTGGTTGTCTTTCTTCTTTCCTATTGTTCTCTTAACTGAAGATGAAGTAGAATTGAGTTTGATATTGAATTCCTCTTACAATGTGAGCCAGTCTAGTCTGATCCATCTGCTCAGCAGTCACTGTTCCCCTCTTGACAGCTCTCTGCAGCAGTTTCTCCAGTCTCTGTATATAAGCTGAAACTTTCTTGCCCCTTTGCTGTCGGACATTAAGGAACTTAAAATAAATATCCTCAGAGTTCGTTGTGTTCCCAAAGGTGTGATTGAGGGCCTCTAGGCCAGAGGTTCTCAACCTTTTTCTTTCTGAGCCCCCCTCCCCCGACATGCTATAAAAACTCCACGGCCTTTCTGTGCCACATCTGGTTTTCTGCATATAAAAGTCAGGGCTGGCATTAAGAGGCTGCAAGCAGGGCAATTGCCTGAGGCCCCAAACCACTGGAAGCACTGAGAAGCTACGTTTCTCAGGCTTCTGCTTCAACCCCAGGTGGCAGGACTCAGGGATCTGGGCTTCAGCCCCATGCTGTGGGTCTTCGGCTTTCTGTCCTGGGCTCCAGCGAGTCTAACGCTGGTCCTGTTTGGCGTCCCCCCTGAAACCTGCTCGCGGCCCTCCAGGCAGCCCCAGACCCCTGGCTGAGAACCACTGTTCTAGGCAGTCCTTCACACTGACCCCAGGGTTACTGAGCTTCAGGGTGCGAATCATGTCTGATGCTGGGCCCCTGAGGCTCTCTACTGCAGTGGTTCTCAAACCTGGGACACCGCTTGTTCAGGGAAAGCCCCTGGCAGGCCAGGCCAATTTGTTTACCTGCCTCATCCGCAGGTTCGGCTGATCGCGGCTCCCAGTGGCCGCGGTTTGCTGCTCCAGGCCAATGGGGGCTGCAGGAAGCAGCGTGGACCGAGGGATGTGCTGGCCGCCCTTCCTGCAGCCCCCATTGGTCTGGAGCACCGAACCACAGCCAGTGGGAGCCGCAATCGGCCGAACCTGCGGACGCGGCAGGTAAACAAACCGGCCCGGCCCGCCAGGGGCTTTCCCTGAACAAGCGGCGGCCCTAGTTTGAGAACCACTGATGTACAGCACTGAATGTGGGAAATGTTCTTCTTCAATGGGGATGGAGTTTGCGGGGAGAGGGATGAAGCAGGTCAAAGCAGGATTTGAAGTGAAACTGTGGGGAGGTATGGTATTTACCTGTGCACAATGCTGCTTTGTTCCTCATGATGTCAAAGAACCTATGGCTTTCCTGGCTCTTAATCATTCTTAGAAGGGAATATGGGACTGGGATTTAAATATCTGATTTTTAGCTTCCAAGGTTGAAGTTGGTTCCTTTGTAGCCAAAGTCAAACCATATATTCTTAAACAGCTATTAGTAAAAAATGGCATGGAATTATGTAAAATGAATCGATATAAAAATGTGTGTGTGTGTGTGTGAATCCCCAGTATGTGGAAATTTGTGACAGCCCTTCCCAACCCCACCCTAACTCTTGTTCACATCCAAATTGTCTGTAAGTAGAGTAACTGGATTCTCAACAAAATAACTCTTAGATAACCTCAAATGATACATCTGAGACCACTAGACAACACTGGACTGCAGGACCCTGTGATCTCTGACACGGTATTGGATTTCTGTGCAAAATTGCTTTACAGATCAGCCCCTCACTCCCAACTAAATATTACAAATGTCTGGTAAATAACACATCCTGCAGATCCCTAGATGATCCTTTCTTATCCAGAATTGTAGGGATTGCAGAGCTGTATTGCTTGGTGAATGGAGATCTCTTTTGTCACTTACAGTCTTTTCATCTCCCTAGTTACTTAGGAGCATTGGTACAGTGTGGCCAAATAGCATAGTGCAGATTCCCAGTTTTAGAATGGTAATTTCTTTTAAAGTTAAAATTTCAATCTGGGAATGAGTAATGAACTTCATCTTTTGAATAAGGAACTGGGAATCTGAATAAGGAAGTGGGAATAAGTGGACCAAACTCAGCCTACTGATGAACCATCTCAATCTTTCTCATCGTGCCAGTTATAGATGTAATGATGCAGCCAAGTTCACCAGATATTGGCAAACAGCAGAGGAATGGTGATTCTTGGGAATCTTGGGTTTCATTCCAGGCTCTCGAGGGGAATATATTTGAATGGGCATAATCTCACAGACTATTCTGTCCTAGTTCTGTGTGTCTCTTGCGCCTTCTACACTTTACAGGTTCCTCAGACTAGTCTTAGTCTCTTTGCTTTAGTAGTCCTGGATTCCTCCTCTGGGTTTCCCTTCTTCATTCCAATCTAATCCCTCCTTTGCCACACCCCCAAGTCTGCCTCTTGTCCCCTCTGCATTCAACTCAGAATGCTCCCTCCTTCTCCATGTTACCTGGGCAGTAAAAGGGAGACCACTGAGCAGGGCCAGCTCCAGGCACCAGCTGAGCAAGCAAGTGCTTGGGGTGGCCAAGGGGAAGGGGCAGCACGTCAGGCTTTTTGCGGCAATTCGGCAGAGGGTCCTGAATTGCTGCCGAAGAAGAAAGTGGCGCGGTGGAGCTGCTGGAGATCGCAGCTTTTTTTTTTTTCTTTTCCGCCGCTTGGGGGCGGCAAAAACCCTGGAGGCCGGCCCTGCCACTGAGAGCACAGGAAAGACAAATTCACTGCTCTCAGTTCTGCTGCCTCCGTGGCTGGGAGCAGCAATTCCAATGAAAGTTCTGCTTTGTCCCTACATCCCTGGGCTGGCACATGCTCAGTACAGACTGAAACTTGGGCAAATTTAGCTGCCAAACTCTAAATAGTCTCTGCTGAGCATGTGTGAATTGCAACATTTTTCAAAGAGTTATAATTTGGCCAAGTTTGAGTAGATTTTCATGGGGACAGCAGAAGGGACATCCTTGACAGCAGAGCAACCACCGCCCAGCCAAATTTCACATTCCATGTTCTAAATCATGGCTGCACTACAGCTACAGCTGCTCCACAAAATGGTTGTGTACAATTTTTAACATGGGTAAAACATGTTTTTCTCTAATTTTGTTCTCAAATAGTTGAGCAACGTTTGCGAATACTCCCCCTTCTTCCCCCTCCCACCCCCCCACACCTGAGGTGCACACCTAACAGGAAAAATATCAGCCCAATAGATTAAACTTTTCCAAAGCTATGAGCATTGGAAAACATGATCTTATAATGAAGTGTTGGAGGATGGGGCCTATTTCAGCTACACCATTGGCCATTTCACATTTCCTGTGTTGATCATATTCATTTGCTCTCTGTCTGCTAGAAGAGCTTTCCAGAACGGTCAGTAACAACCACACAGATGAACCCACTGACACACTCAATGCTTCAAGAAAATCTTCTCCTAGCACACAGTTTCAGTTTCAACATCCTCTAGCCAACTTCATTTTCATGCCAGACTGCTGAATTCACCTGGAATCAGTTATAAAGGCAAGGGGTCTGATTGCTGTTCTTCCATGGAGTTCCCATTTTATCATGGAAAAATAACGAGAAAAACCTGTGAAGAATTACTAAGCAAGAAAGGCAAGGATGGCAGCTTTTTATTACGAGAGAGCGAGAGCGTGGCAGGAGCCTTGTGTCTTTGTGTTTTGTAAGTACTGTACTTATATTTAAAAATTGTATTAATTTTAAGACAATCACAAGTGGAAGTTATTACATCCTTAAAGGTGAATAAGTAGCAAATGTGAAAGTGATCTCACATGCCAGAAACTTAAATATGCTGCATATCCCTAGTTAGTGTACAAAATACTTCTGCAGAAGAAAGAGGCACACATTGCCTCTGGCATAGGAGGGAGTGAAGACTTTGGGCATGGCGGGGAGAGGAGGGCAGTAAACACCTCTGGCATGAGGGAGATGCCGGTAGTTAGAAGTCCCTGAAATTGAAAAGGTTGGAAGGGTGGCACACAGGATGCTTTACATACTGTTGGCATGGTAGTATGTTAAAGGTTAAGTCCCATATATATATGGGTAATATATCTCTAACTGCAATTCAGCCCAATCAGATATACTCCAGGTTAAAGTGACCTGGCTTATTATCATACCTGGAATCCCCAGGGGCAGGCCAAGCTTTAGGGTTCTGGGTAGGTTTGGATAGCCCACGTTAAAGCTTGTGCTGCCACAGCTTCATTGTTCTGGACCTGAGCTGTCTAAATTAAAGTTAGCTTTGGTATGTCTGCTCCATCCGCAGTCACACCTAGTGACTGCACTACAGACAGGCTCTGAGCTGTGCTGCTTCTGCACAGGAACAACAAGAAGATTACTTTAATCTAAGATAAGCAAATCTGGATCCTAAAAACTACCTGAACAGATCTTGCATGCGAAGAAAGTGCTATTTTTACATAGTCACATTTAACCAGCCTTTGTTTTTAAAACAGAACTTGAAGCAACCACATCAGACAAACAGATGTCTGTTTCCAGGGTCTGAAAACTCTAGATAAATTAGCAGGGCTTTGGAGCTGTGCTCCGGCTCTGCTCCAGCTCCAGGCAAAAATCTGCAGCTCCACTGCTCCAGAGCTGCTCCGCACTCCAGCTCCGGGCTCTACTCCAAAGCCCTGTAAATTAGGGTTGTTAAACAAATAAAACAATTAATCACGAGATTAAAAAAAATCGCAATTAATCACAGTTGTAATTGTACTATTAAACAATAATAGATATATTTGAAAATGTAGAAAACATCCAAAACTATTTAAATAAATGGTATTCTATTTCAATTACAACACAGAATACAAAGTGTACAGTGCTCACTTTATATTATTATTTTTATTACAAATATTTGCACTGTAAAAAAGACAAAAGAAATAGAATTTTTCAATTAATCTCCTACAATTACTGTAGAGCAACCTCTTTATCATGGAAGTGCAACTTACAAATGTAGAATTTTTTATTTTTTTACATAACTACACTCAAAAATAAAATAATGTAAAACTTTATAGCCTACAAGTGCACTCAGTCCTACATCTTATTCAGCCAATCGCTAAGACAAACAAGTTTGTTTGCATTTACAGGAGATAAATGCTGTCCGATTCTTATTTACAATGTCACCTGAAAGTCAGAACAGATGTTCGCATGGCACTTTTGTAGCCAGCATTGCAAGGTATTTACGTGCCAGATATGCTAAATATTTGTATGCTCCTTCATGCTTCCAGCTGATGATGCTCATTTAAAAAAGTGTTAATTAAATTTGTGACTTAACTCCTTGGAAGGAGAATTGTATGTCTCCTGCTCTGTGGTTTTACCCACGTTATGCCATATAGTTCATGTTATAGCAGTCTCAGATGATGGCCCAGCATATGTTGTTCGTTTTAAGAACACTTTCATTGCAGATTTGACAAAACGCAAAGAAGGTATCAATGTGAGATTTCTAAAGATAGCTACAGCACTCGACCCAAGGTTTAAGAATCTGAAGTGCCTTCCAAAATCTGAGAGGGATGAGGTGTTCAGCATGCCTTCAGAAGTCTTAAAAGAGCAACACTCTGATGGGGAAACTACAGAACCCAAACCACCAAAAAAAGAATATCCACCTTCTGTTGGTGGCATCTGACTCAGGTGAAATCAGTCCACACTGCTTTGGATCGTTATTGAGCAGAACCCGTCATCAGCATGGACGCATGTCCTCTGGAATTGAGGTTGAAGCATGAAGGGGCATATGAATCTTTAGAATATCTGGCATGTAAATATTCTGCAATGCCAGCTACAAAAGTGCCATGTGATCGCCTGTTCTCACTTTCAGGTGACATTGTAAATAAGAAGTGGGCAGCATTATTATCTCCTGTAAATGTAAACAAACAAGTTTGTCTTAGAGATTGGTTGAACAAGATTTAGGACTCAGTAGACTTGTAGGCTCTAAAGTTGTACATTGTTTTATTTTGGGTGCAGTTATGTAAAAAATAAAAAATTCTACATTTGTAAATTGCACTGTCATGATAAAGAGATTGCACTACAGTACTTGCATGAGATGAATAGAAAAATACTGTTTCTTTTATTTATCTTTTTACAGTGCAAATATTTGTAATCAGAAATAATAATATAAAGTGAGCATTGTATACTTTGTATTCTGTATTGTAACTGAAATAAGTATATTTGAAAATGTAGAAAATATCAAAAAATATAATAAATTTAAATTGGTATTCTATTATTATTTTACAACGTGATTATAATTGTGTTTAATCGCGATTAATTTTTTAATCGAGTTAATTTGTGTTGATTTAATTGCTTGAGTTAACTGTGATTAATTGACAGCCCTAACATAAATCTAATGTAAAAATGAATGTGTGCCCAAAACTCTCCAGTATCCTTCTTTCATGGTAGTGCTTGAAAGCAAGTGTTTATAAATGCACAAAATACACTTCAGGTGCCCTTTTAAAAAGGTAAATGGACACTATTTCTGTTTTAAGGAACTCCTGCTTTTTCTTTAGATTTAGGCTGCAGAGTTAGCTTTGGGGTATCTATCTTCACTAATTAAATGGCTAAGCATTTTCTAAAATAGCTGTTTGTACAAGTGACATACTTTGTACTTTAGAAGAGATTTAAATGGTATGTAATTGTTGTTAGCAAAAAATATAATGACAGACATTTCCAGAGATTGGCTCCCTGGGGTTTTAGTCGTTTATTGTTTTAGCTTGGTTTACATTTAAAAAAAAAATACTTCCACCAGAAGTTTTAGACGTAGTGGTGTCTAGCCATTGTTGTTCCTTGAATGTTGATAAAAAACAACTTATGAAAGGGTATCTCTTCACAGCTTTGAACGGCTCATCTACACTTATCGAATCTTCAGGGAACATGAAGGTTACCTTCGGATTCAGGTAAAAAATGTCATTTCATCTGCAAGAAAAAATATTGTTTAATGTCATTTTCTGATTAAAAAATCATATACATAAAATCTCACCTTCACAAGGTATTTTCATACCTGCATTCTACCCCACACAACCCTTGACAACACTTTTTGTCATTACCCACTAGCTTGGAAGTAACACACTATTGCTAGCTCCACAGTAATCTCTTTGTATCCATCATTTATTGTGTGGCTTGCCCATAGCTACTGATTTGACCATGTCTTTTTGACAGCATAAAATCTCTCTTGAGTATCTACTCACATACTTTTTCTTCCTTTTTCTGATGGAATGCGCTTCCATTTCACCAAAGGCATTGCTGGGTCCTGTGTACAAACACCTTGTGCTTCTGAATGTTAAGGGATTTTGAATTTTGGAATTAGTCCTTTCCTTTTAAAAAGATCTGTATATAATATTTTTGTGTGACTGTAATGCTCCGAGAGCTGCTTTTGAGCATTACTGATTTGGGCTGGATTTCTAAGCAAGAGCATTCTGCTTTATTTATTTTATTTTGTTGCTTTCCTCTACACCATAGAGTATAGAGCTAGGATCATCTGGGGATATCTCACCAAACTAATTCCCTGGTATTCCAGGGGCATCAGGTATTGGTGGTGGGTATCTGAGTCGAATTTGATGGCCTGTGTTTATTCATTCTGTCCTTTATGGTTGCAGAGCAAAGTTTGCAGACAGACTGTTCAACCTAAAGACTATGATGTCAGAAGACAAAAATAACTCAAAAGTACTTTTTAAAAAGTATCCCTTTTAAGCCAATCTCCTGATTTTGGAACATTTGGAATTGGCATTACAGCATACTCTTTTTTATAGGCGGATAACTTCCAAGCCTTATCTTTCTCACCACAATTCTTGAAAGCCTTCTCCCCTCGATCACAGCAGCCTGGGCCCTCAATCATATACATGACCACCTCCCGAGTGTCTCAGTGCTGTTTACAATGTTGGGCATAGGAGACTGCTATACACCCAGCTGAATGTGATGGATGATGTTTGGAACGTGAACTTTGATTCCCTAAGGCTGTGTCTACACTACCACTTTTGTCGATAAAACTTTTGTCAGTCAGGAGTGTGAAAAAAACGCTCCACTGACCGACTTAAGTTTCACCAGCAAAAGTGCTGGTGTGGACAGCGCTATGTTGACAGGAGAGGCTCTCCTGCCGCCATAGCTAACGCCGCTTGTTGCGGGTAGTTTAATTATGCCAGCAGGAGAGCTGCTGTTCTGGGGAAGCAACAAAAACATTTAGAACAGGGTGGGTCAGATTGATTATTTGAGAAATTCAGGCAAGGTGTACACTAGAAAGTTTCCCTAGCATAAAAATGTTAGCTAAGAGTGTGACTTCTTTCTCTCTCTCTCTCTTTTTAACAGTATTTCTTGACTGGCACTAGCCTCAGTGTAGATGCAGATATATCAGCATATCTTATTTCACTCGGGAAACCAAGTATAAGCTATAGCAGAAGCACTTTCTATTTTATTTTTTTAGGACATAAGCTGTTTCTACACTAGGAAGATTTGCTGGAACAGCTATCCTGGCAAACCTTTTCTAGTGTAGACGAGGCCTCAAAAGGACAGTCTCTGGGACTGAAACTGAATTCAGGCTGGGTGCCAAGAGTTCTGTGGTTTCCTAAAAGGGCAGAGCCAAACCACATTCCTTTAACTTAAGAGGAAAGGCTGTCTGTTTTAGCTTGTAGCAAAGCGTCAGACTAAATACGCATGTAGGCTGTTTACTCTAAAATCCTTTTCTCTCTAACGCTTTTAATCCAACTGATAAATACAAATACTTTGTTTTAAGGAGGCTTTTGGTCACTATACCACTGGTCACAGATTCCCAAAGGGAAGAAATGCAGGTGCCTAAAATCCAGTTGGTCTTACAGAGTGATAAGTGGTTGGTATACACAGGGTACAAGCACCAGATCCCAGTCTTAGAGTGGGAGACTTGTGTGATTCCACCCTAAGACAGATAAGGACAAGAGTTGCATCACCAAAGAGGGTACACTCAGAGAGACCAGAGCGGGGACAGAGGTACAGCTAGCTCTGTAGCTGCGACATGAGCACTTCTCTCTATGATAAGATTGGTGCTTTTATAAATAACTGAACATTTTATTTTTATTTATCAGTCACCATATCTGTTCAGCATTCAGTTAAGAATGAACTACTGGTCACGCACTTACAGGACTCTGAATGAATAGAGTGACCATACGTCCCGTTTTGGCCGGACAGTCCCTTTTTTAAGCCTTGTCCCGGCCATCCCCACTTTTTTGGCAAAAGTGGGCATTTGTCCTGTTTGCTTTTGCCAATTTGATCAGTTGGCAAGAGCAAATCGGACAAATGTCCGCTTCCGTGAAAAAAGCAGGGTGTGGAGGAATGTGCGGATGGGGAGGGTGAGCGGTGATGCCAGCCCCATGCCTGGGGTAGGTAGGACTCAGGCGGGGTACAGGCAGTGCTTGGGCAAGCAGCGACGCCAGCCCTGTGCAGGGGGGAGGGAGCTTGGCCAAGTGGCTCAGGACAGCCCTGCGCCAGATGGTGTCCTGTTTTCCCTTTGGGAAATAGGGTCACCCTATGGATGAAACATACATGCAATGGCAATGCTTTTTTCACTTTCCTTCAGACTTCTGAAGACGTTCCACAACAGGTCTTCAAAACAATAAAGGATTTAATATACGCATATGAAAAGCCAAATCAAGGACTCGTCATCAACCTTCGCTACCCAGTAAGGAGACCGAAGCCCCCAAGGAGGAGAGTAAGGAAATCCGAGGTAGAGGTGAATGAAGTTTATGATGGTAAGAGGTTTATTTCTGTCTTTTTAGCCTAGTACTGGATTGACCGTTCTGAGAGTGAATCCCTTCTGTTTATCCTCAGTGCACAGAGAGCCCAGACAGCAGTTCTACACATTTCCCACTCAGTCCTTGCCACAGTGTTTCAATAACACTTTAAATCACATTTAAGAGTGAGAAGGGAGCTCTGTCAGCCTTTCTTAGTCTGCCAATAAAGGTGCCAGTTAGTAACAATATAATGGCAACTCTTAGAATAGGTGTCCGTGTCACAATGAGCAGGCATGTGAAAATCTATTCAGCCTACTGTAGATGGGTAAAACTGAGACACAGAAAGGTTTCAGAATTCATCTAAACTCTCTTAGTATGTCATGGTGAGAGTCAGGAGTGATACTCAGAATTCTTGCCTCCGATGCACCCTCCGGATGGTTATAATCTTAAGTAATACCAACACAGGCTGGATCTGAACCCATGCGTTAGAGGCAAAATATTTTGCATTCCTGAATCATTGAGTCCCCTATACTTGATTTTAAACTTTCTTTTTATTTCAAGATGAAAAGCAAAAATTACATATTCTGTCTAAGTGATCAAAATCCTACCAGTGACATTAGCTAAATAGTCCCCTAATGAAAATGGGGACAAAGACATACATAATGACTTTGATGGAGTTGGGATTTGACCCGTAATGTTTTAAGATTTAAATAAAAATATTGTCAGTATGCATTACTTCAGTATGGCTATTTACAATATAGTTCCTATAAGGTGCTGAGTCCACTGATTTCAGTGAGAGACCGGGTCCTAAATTACCTTCATACCAAAAATAGCACAAACTAACTAAATTATCTTTGAGGGCCTTGGGGAAAAAATATAATCTAACTTCAAACTCATCGTTTTTTTGTTTTGCTTTGTGTTCTAACATCATAAGTAGTCTTAAATCCAACCTGTCCTAAAAATAAAAATTTAGGGAGGAAGTATGATCCAGTGGTTAGGGCACTGTCCTGCTAGTTGTAAGACCCAAGGTCAATCCTTGCTTTACCATAGTCATCTTCTGTGAGCTGGGCAACTCACTTTGTTTCCGTCTCAGTTCCCCAATTGTAAAATGTGCCTAATGCTTCACCAAGGTGTTTAGGCTAAATACATTAAAAATTATGAGGCTCTCAGATATAGTATACTTTGATTGTAGTCATGTGTCTTTACTGTAACATGCCCTTGGTTGTGTTAGGATGAATTTAGTAAGAGTGGTAACTGTTAACTTGGACAGTGCTGTTGACACAGAACAAAAGACTTTAAGAAGTGCTGAATAATGCTTAATTGCTGAGTTAATCAAGCAATGTGAACTGTCATTAGAAAGGTTTCAGAGTGATAGCCGTGGTAGCCTGTATCAGCAAAAACAATGAGGAGACCTTGTGACACCTTAGAGACTAACAAATTTATTTGAGCATAAGCTTTCATTGGCTAAAACCCACTTCATCAGGTGCATCATTTTAGCCCACGAAAGTTTATGCCCAAATAAATTTGTTAGTCTCTAAGGTGCCACAAGTACTCCTCATTGTTTTTGTCATTAGAAACCATTTCTCCATTAGAATTGCTTCCCCACAAGAGTAAGTGCTTATACCAGCAAAAGTGTAGGAATCGTGTATGCATGACGCAAGAGTCTTCACTTAGGCACATTGGCTATATGAGTGTAAATTCACAAAGTTTCCAGTCCTCTGTGTGAGTTACTCTTGTGGGTAGCCTGGAGCCCTGAATGGCGATCTTTGAAATCACTCCTAATTTAAGGTGAACTGACATTTTATGTTTAAATGGCACAGTTTTTAAGGGTCAAAATCATTAATGGAACACATGGGTAGACTTAAAATGACAAGTACATGCTAATAGTTAACTGAAACATATTTTTACCTGGATCCCTCAGTAAGAGCTAAGCCCTATCCCTGACATCTAAAGCGGCGTAAGGAATGCAGCTCTTGCATTGCTTTAGAGCAGGGGTCGGCAACCTACGGCACGCGAGCCGATTCTGAGTGGCACACTGCCTACCTGGTGAGAGGAGGTGCGGAGGGGCCGAAAAGCGCCACGCCGGGGGAAAAAGGGGGAGGAGGGAAGCTTGGCTGCCGCAGGACCAAGCTTCTGCCCCTGCAGGGGAGAGTGGTGGGGGGGGTCCCGGCCCCCCACCCCACTCAGCCCCCCGCGCACAGCTCTCCCCTGCGGAGGCAGGAGGCAGAAGCTTGGTCCTGCAGCAGCCAAGCTCCCCCCCTTCCCCTGTTTCTTCCCACAATGTGGTGCATTCCGGCCCCTCTCCCTGCCGGCGACGGCCCTTGCGAGGGGGAGCAGAGCAGAGCCGAGCCGAGCGCAGCGTGCTCCCTGCTCCGTAGAGGAGGCAGAGAGAGGTAGGGACGGAGCCTGGGGGAAGGGGGTGGAACAGGGCATATCCCTTCCAGCCCCCTGCCATGAGCCACTCAGGGCAGGGGGCTGGGAGCACCCCCATGAGCCGAGCACCCCAGCCCTCTGCCCTGCACCTCCCACACACACCCCAGCCCTCTGCCCTGCACCCCCCCACACACCCAGCCCTCTCCCTGCACCTCCACGTACCCTCCAGCTCTCTGCCCTGACCTCCTCCAACACCCAGCCTTCTGCCCTGCACCTCCACACACACCCCAGCCCTCTGCCCTGATCTCGAGTCGCCCCCAACACCCAGCCTTCTGCCCTGCACC